TTTTTTTTTTTGCTTTCTCTCATGTTTGCTCGTTTTTGTATTTTCTTTCTATAGGTTGTTTTTCTTCTTTGTTGGGTTTGTATGCTTAAGGTCTCAAATCGGTGTATTTGCCTTAGTGTATTAGATATTTTAGGTATGCTCTAGACCACATTTGGTGTGGCTCTTCGTTTGTATTAAGGCTAGTTTGCATTAAGTTTGTAGTCTTATTGTTTATACTCTTATTGCATTAAGTTTGTACTCTTATTGTTTATAAGAGTATCTTCTATCGTTTGGGGAGAAAAAAAAAAAAGTTACTCATAATATACCTTTCAAATTCTTTGCATTTTGGTGTTCGATAATATGACAATTTTAAGCTATCCCACCGATCTCATCAAAACGGCAAGCAAAGAACAATAATGATAATAATAACTATAACTACTACCATTGATTACTGAACATACCATAACGAAAAAAACCATTTACCAATAACATAAAGAAAAAAGCCAATTACCAGTAGCTTCCTAACAAGAAAGAAAGAGGGCATGCGTAAACACATCCCAGCAAACGTGAACTTACTATACTTGATAAAAATATACCCTAATAATAGAACTAAACCAGAAAAACCCCCGAGCAAAAAGCTCCACTAATTAGGTGGCGGGAAGAAAATCTCCTCGGCCTTCCTCTTTGAGCTGAACTTCTGCTCCACGTCCGCCGGAACGTTAAAAGCTGCCTGAAGCACCTCGGACGACAGAGCCTTCCACACCGAAGTCCTCCCCGCCAAATGCGTGAAAATCGGGCTGCAAAACCAAAAGTCCAAATTCCAATTCACCTCACAAAACTAATAACGAAAGAACCAAAAAAACCAAAACAGAGAATCATCCAAAATCGTAATAATAAAAACTTTAAACTCACTCGGGAGTGGTGATGATGGAGAACCAGTCCATGCCATCCGGGTCCGCAATCTTGGAGACCACAAAGAACCTCGGCACAATAAACAGGTTCCCGGCCTTAATGGTCGTCTCCAGGACCCGTTTACCGTCCACACCCACAACCTGGACCCGCCCGCTCCCCCTCACAATATACGTCACCTGTAGGGCCGAGTCGCACGAGAAGCCTGGAGAGCACATGGCTCCACCATTCAACCCGACGAGGTCTGCCCCAAGCCCAACTTCCCCAACCAGCGGTAAGTTCTTGGTGTTCAAGACCACCACCTTGCCCCCGCCCTTGATGTCCACATCGAGGGGAGCCTCCTCGCAGTTGAGGGCCATGCCTTTGTAGTGGTCCTTCTTGGGCTCAGGGAACTTGGCGTTCGGGCCGAGCTTGACGATGCCGTGGGTCGGTTGGCTGGAGACGAGGGCCTTGGCGGTGAGCTCGTCGACATCCCAGGCCCGGGTGACAAACTCGGTTGAGAAGCCCGTGAAGATGCCTTTGGGGCCAGTGAGGAAGAAGTCGGTGAAGGAGCCGCGCTTGTGGGCCTTGGAGGTGTCCCCGAGGAAGAGGATGACGAGTTCCTGGTCGTCCTTGTTGATGTACCAGGTGACCACACCGAATGGGAGGGCTATGGCGTCTCCCTTTTTGATGGGGAGCACCTTTTCTTCCTTCTCAGGGAGGACAATGCCGGCCATCCCGCTGCCTGAAAAAAAAATATGGTTGGGGTAATACGTCGAGCAAGACGAATGCAATCGGTGTTAAACGGATCAAACTAATTCTTCTCATTTTAAGTGGCTTGCATGAACTGATTCACTATTCATCAATATGGAACACAAATTCTCACAACAGTTAAATTATTCGATTTGATCAGTCATCACAAATCTAGCAAAAATCAATCGCATGAACCGTTCGACAGGGCAATCATAACGCTTTGTAGCAAAATAAGCACGATAAAAAGCATCATCAGTCATCACTCTTTCAACAAATCAAAAATCAAATCACAAATCAAACTTCAGGAACTGCACAAAAGCTGAAATAACTTATGATCAAAACAGATACCACAAATCAAAATCCGTCAATCGCGCAAAGTAGTAGATTGGTGATCGTACATAAATAATATACATACCTTGAAGAACATAAGCAACCTTAGCAGAATCGGAGTATCGAGGGGGCGCAAAGCCGTTCTTCTCAAGGGCGAGCTTAGCGGCGCCGATGTTGCCTTCGCGGAGCATCGGCAGCTCGTCGGGGCACCACGCGTAGTACGCGCCGCCATCTCCGCCGTAGATCTTCTTCGCCAACTTTGGTGTCAAGTCGAGCTCCATCGTCTCTACTTCCTAAAGCAAACAAGATTGAAAATGAAACGCAAACAGATTGAAAATGGTGATGATAATTGGCGATGATGCGCTTGGTATTTATAGGGGAAAGAAAATCTGAAAAGCAGATTGAAATTAGTGCTGTCGATGATAGGATTGGTTCTGTTAATTGTGGATTTATTAGGATCTTTATCTTATCTGGATCGTTATCCTTTTTGTATCATTGTGATATATATTCGAGATTTTGTGATATAAGGAATAAGGTTAACTAAATAAAATAATAAGTATTACTCAATCTGTGCATGATTTATGCATGCGTTTCTGAGTTAAGGATTCTATCTGTGGGGTAAATAAGGTAAAACTATGTAAGATAAAACTCGATTTTAGTATATAAATAGGATAAGATTAAGATAAACCTATGTATGATAATCGGAGCCAGTGCCCACAATTCTTAGAGTTCTTTGTCAAACAATAATTATATTAAGATTGAAAAACTCTAGATGAATACATTGAAATGTTGACGGACACCACTTAAACTCACGGGCCAAACTAGGATTTGAAAATACTACTAGGGTTAATGAAATTGCGATCTCTTATTTTATCTTTATTTTTTATTTTTAGATCGCAAACTCGGCCATTATAGTATTACTACAAATTTTTTCGACCAACTCTCTTACAATGTAAATAACCATTGATCTGCCAAAAGTTCATTTTCCATCTTATTACGAAGAACCGTCTTAATAAGTTTCATAGCGTAAACGCTCGCTCTGCAGTTGTCGTAATAACATGAAGAGTCGAAACAAGACGGATTAACTTGTCAGATAAATTCAATTAATTAGACTGAATAAATATACTAGAATTCAATTAACAAAAATTACTTAAGACAACTTCAGTTGTACTTGTCAATCATGTTGTAGATATTTGACTTATTTGTCTTGATTAATCTATGACATAACTCAAAAATAGTCGGTAGCTCTTGAAATCTCACATTAGTAATGACATCAAGCTCATTGTGGTTCTATTGCAATTTCAAATAGAGCAAACGTGAGCATCAAAATCAAGAGAATAGAAGCGTTCGGTAAGATGATGAATATGGTCCCCTTTGAACAATTTAACACCTTCTTTCGGTTCCAAGGCACAACTAAGCTTAAGAAGTTCAACTGCTTCATCCTTGAATCTATTATTTATCTATTCAATTTGAAAATCTATTGTGGAATTAAACACATCAAAATGATAATGGAACTCAACTAGGACTGAATCATTTTTATGACTTGAACGATGTGCAGAGGATTATTAGCGAGCTTCCATTTGAGGCACCTCGATATCATACTTGACACAACTTCATGCACATTTAAAGGTGTGTACCAAAACCTTCTTCTCACAACGTTAGAAGTAACGTTTTAGTAGTTGAAATATTATCCATTGCACTTAAGATGTTTAGAGATTATTCACATTATTTTGTGCATCAAGAATAATATGAATATGAAATCAAAATACTTCATTGCAATAAAAAGAGAAAAAAAACTACTCAATTCACCTCGAATGGAATTAGAAGATCCAACATCCACCATGATCTCCAACATGACGATCAATAAAGAGCTATACTTATCTATCATATTACAATGTGAGTCACAATTAGAACTCCACCTCGTCTTTCTTGGCCTGAGTAAATTCCCAATTTTGATTACACCCTCTACCTGTATCACACTGTCCCCATTGCTACCATATGTGCAATTTTTTTATTTTTATTTTTAATTTTGAGTAATTTGTAACTCACAATGGCGTTTGGGAGAGGCAATTATAAGATTACCGATAACAGTCATTTTTTTTTTTTAAAAAAAAACAACCAAGCAGTTGAAACTAATGTTAGTTGAAGTGAACGCACGAAACAGTGCACATAATATGCACTCAGACAATCTCTCAAGAATAGAGCCTGCAATGTGTTCCACAAGCCACACATATTGCTAGCACCATCATAACTCTGTCCCCATATATTGTGAACCTATAAATTATATCGATTTAGAGCATTCACTATTTCCTTCTTAAGTGTCGTGACGGTTGTATCAAAGCCATGAACAATAGGAGATAAAAGTTCTCTTATATAGCTATCAATATTGACAAACCTCAACACAATCGTCATATTTTCTTTGTTGGAATTATCTCTCGCTTCATCACTAATATACAGAATTTCGCGGTTCCAACTTTCTCATGAATTTTGGATCTCACTTGGTGAGCAAGAACATTCAGAACATCTTTTTGAATTCTGGAGAAGTATACTTTGTATTTTTTTTGGAGCATTTACTAAGATTACGTCTTTAATACTATCATTTATTATTTTCATGAACATTATCATTTCAATAAAATTTCCACTCTTAGTTGATAATGAAGATTCATCATGTTCTCTAAATGGACATGCCTGCAAAGTGAGCCATTGGATGCTTTTCAATAGTTGTTGTTTGCCGCAATCTATTTTTTTCTTCTTCTCTAAAGTTTGCGCGTTGATTAATTTGTCTATGACGATGCACATTCATCAAACAATCAATGGAGGTTGTAGCAGTGTTATGGGATGAAGTAGGGCCTCCAATATGTAGTAAGAACGAGCACCTTTCTCCGACATTCACTCACTTCCAATACTTTAAACCCTCAGTAGTAATTGCTAAATTTCGAGATTGCTTATCTTTGAACAAGAAACACGGGAAGTAGAATGCAACATCCTTAGAAGGAGAGTAATCCAACCAAGTAAACTTCTTGAACCAATGTCTTTGCAATCTCCGAGTTTGAGCTCTGAATTTAGTTGGTGGATATTCATTCTTGATAGGTTATAATGGCCCCATCTCAATATAAGCTCATTTAATTTCATCTATTTTCCATATTGGAATACGTAATACTGGATCACTTTCAAGAAAACTCACATTTATTGAGACAACAACATCATTATTAGACGGGCAATATCGACTTGTCGGCGTATGCTCTTTTGGCTTAAAAAATGAATTGATAGTCATTATTTTCTTCGTTCCTTACCCTCCAATATAATTGAAACCTATCAAGTTACACAAAATAGTAAATTAATAAAGATGCATATCGTTGTTCATTGGAAAGAATCATGTTTGGATACATCTTAGGAGCTAGTTGAGCTTGTAATTAATTCACTCTCAATGCTAAGAAATTTCAAGAAGGCTAAATTTGTATACTCATTTGTAATTTAAAAAATATCCACACAAAAACATCAAATTGAACAACATCTGCAGGCCGTTGAAAATATATAGTTACCGGTATCTTTGAAAAATCTTTAATGAAGAATTTTTGAATGTTGAAGCTATGTACCAATCTCTAGAAAATGGAGTTTGCACTTTGAATCTTTCAATTAATTACAACAACATGAAAACCAAAACAAAAAATGAATGTCCTAAGTATATTAATTCATCTGAGTTCTTTCTTAGTATTTTTATCAAACAAGTGGTGTGCATGAATTCAAACTCTTATATTTCTAGTTTTTTTCTTCACAAACCAACTCATCTACATTTCATCACAATAGTAATAATGTGGACAATAAAATTGATTGTTACTACAATTACACAAGCAATTGAATTAGCATTGTAAAAAAATAAATAAAAATTAAAATACATACCCTCAATTCAAACCTTGGAGACTTCAGCCTTGGAAGTTGCTGCAACCCGCAGACAGAGCTACCTGCTTGCGTGGTGCAGTGATGATTGGAGCTTGGGGAGAAAGACGGAGCAATGAGAAAGCGGCGGCAGCGGATATGGGCAGAGGGGAGAAGGCGGCTGACGGAAATTGAAGTTGCGGGTGGTCGGGTGGAGCTTAAAGTTGCTTGCGAACTGGGGGTGAGAATCTGATGAAAGATGATGTACTTGGGTTGGTTTTGTAAAATAAATGGACTATGCAAAATTAGATCATTTTGTAATTTGCTGGGATGATTGAAATAAATGGACTACCATAAAAAGAGTTTATTTTGTAATTTTTAGGTTGTTTGTGGACTTAATAAAAACTTGAATGGGGCTAGGTATAAAATCTAGATGGGGCGAAGTATAATTTTTTCTACGAGGTCAAGTTAGTATTATTATTATTATTATTATTATTATTATTATTATTATTATTATTTTGGTAATATGGGGTTGTAGCCTAATCTAGCCTATGGGTGGCTCCGCCCTTGCCTAATCCAGTACAAAGACTGGGTCAACCTCCTTGGAATTACACACGACCAAGGGGGTGCAATCAAACTCGAAAAAGGACACTAAACAATTACATGAGTGAGACTAAAACCAGACACAACTTTACTTGAAAAGAAAAAACTAAAAGAAAAGCAAAAAGAACAACTACACACATCTAATTGATACAATAAAGTCCTCCTCGACCACCGTCTAACATAGCTTATACTACAACATCCGAAGACAACAAGTAGAAGATGGTCTACAAAATAAAGCCCGACCTCATCCAAGATCATCAATCTAGAAACTCTACAATCCAAATCAGCTATGACCACTGTTCTAAAAATCGGCCTAGGCGGCGCCTAGGCGCTAGGCGGTGCCCGGGCGCCTCCGATTTGCACAAATCGGCAGAAAAAATCGGCCAGGCGGCTAGGCGGCACCTAGACGGACTTGGCGGGCGCGGAGGACAGGTGGTTAGGCGGCACCTAGGTGGACCTAGGCGTTCCTAGGCGGGCTCGGCGATAATTTTTCAGTTCTTTCTTTTTAATTTTTTTAAATGTTAATTACGTTAATTTGTTCCTAGTTTTCTTTAAAATATATTAATTTTATTATTTGGACTTAGGTTTGTCGATTTATTATAAGTTGAGATAGTTTTATTTTGTAGGCAGTTAAAATAAATAAAAAATAAGGTACTTAATATTGATTTATAGGCCCCGACTAGGCACCGCCAGCGCCTAGCGCCTAGCGGGCGCCTAGCGACTTTTAGAACACCTGCTATGGCTATCCAGATATGAGACCCTCGCTCCTGATTAATCCTTCAAAGCAAACAACCACCTCCAATCGGAACCCACGGCCGCAACCCACTAGTCGCCCGCCTCTAAACATAAACACAATTGGCCGCTACCCGACGGATACAAAAAGCACAAGCGCAATTAGCTCTTGAGACAAAAGCTCAAAGAAAGAGGGATGGAAAGAGGACAATGTTCATAGCAACGCACACGACAACCTTTGTCTACCAACCAACCACCTCAGACCAGAAGGAGCGGTCGATCCTCACAAGAAGGATCACGAGAAATAGAGCGCCAACCACGACACAAGAAAATGAACAAGAGAGGGGGTAAGGTTGTCGGCCGGGAAAATGAGGGAGTTGATGAGGCAAGGAGGCGATTAAAATTCAAATCTGGTGGTTACTGTGCAAAATGGTTTTTTTTTTTTTTTTTTTTTTTCCTTCCTAGGCGGTTACTGTGAATTTTTACGTCTCGCCTTCAACGCCTCTTACACCAAATGGATATATTTGTCTCGATATATATGTATGTGATATGTAATGTAACTAAAAACATATATTTTAATGTAGAATTATTCTTTAAAATTTGTTATTTTGTTTTCATTGAATTTTCACAAAATGAGGTTTCTAATCTTTTTATTCTAATTTGGTTGATGAAATTTTTATAATGTAACTAATAATTTTGTGTCATTTTTTTTTATCATATTTTCTCTTAATTTTTTAAATTTCTCTAACATAAATATTGTTAGATTGTATACATATAATTAATAATAGTCCTTAAAGAGAGTAGGGTAAAGTTACTCATTTTGAATGGATTCCGATTAGCTGACTATTTTGAATAGATTTTTTTAGAAAAATTATTTAGTATTTTTATAGTAAATATCCAATCACTTGGAAATTTAGAATCAAATAATAAGAGTTCAATTATATTAAGATAAAGGTAATTTGAGATTTTTCTTGTCTTCTTCAATCTATTCTTTTGGAAAGGTACAAATATTAAGGGTATTGTTTAGCACAAAATCTCTATGGCCAGCGGATGGCTCCATTATAGAGTCATCCATAACTTGATACATCGACATATCTAAAGTGTATTTAATGCAGAACATGCGTCGATACATCATTTGTAAATAATTGTGGATAGTTCCGTTAGTTGTGTCATTGCTTAGAAATATTAAGGGCATCATTAACATATTTAGCTCATGGCTTAACAATTTTCATGACCGACTTTGATTTAGACATTATTTAAAATAATATTACACCCTTTTAGATATGATTTAAAATAGAATAAATTCTCTATACAAAACTATGTAAGCACTTTTGCCTTTTTATGTATTAATAACGCAAAGTTCTATGAGAGATTATATTCGCAATTCTACACGTCGAATTTTGGTGTTTCGTATTCTGCATTTTATTTTATGTGTACTAGGACTTTTAAAATTACAAAAAATATTTGATCAATTTTAATGATAAATATATTTTAAAAGTTTAAAAACTTTTGTACTTGTAAGCATATGTGCCATTTTATATTTCTTTGGATTAGTCAAGTAGATTTTGACTTTTGTCTATTTTAAAAATATAAAACCTCTATTTGCAGATGATTCTTTATTTTTCAGTAAACCAAATGTTGATTTTTCAGTAAACCACTCTTCAACGTCTGAAGCCCGCATACAACTTTCCACGTATATTCTTTGGTGGTTGTGGAAGTCACGCAATCTGTGGATTTTTCAAAAAGTGTGGCTGCCAGAGGATACCATTATCCGGTTTGCTCATACGGATTGGTCTGAATTCTGTGTGGTTAATGCTAAATAATGTTTTTGTAGTGCCCGAAGCTATGTTCTGTTTTAAGTCCAATGGCTTTGGCCTTGTGTTTATTTATGTGTGTTCATGTGTGCCATGTTGACTTGTGTTCTGCTTGGCCCAACGTTTTGTTCCTTTGGTTTGTGTTGTGGCTGTAGTTTAGGTGGGTGCTGAAGGACTCATAACTAAGTTTATGCCTTTAGTGCTTGTTTGTGATTTGTGGTTGGGCCACCATGTTGGTGTGGTCCTCCTTTAGTTTTTGTAAGAGCTAGCGAGCCCTCCGATTTGTACTCTTTTTAATTGTTATGAGATTTAATATCGTCTGAAAAAAATGCAGGTATTGATCAGGCCTTGGTCTTGCTAAATATCCTAGAAAGATACATATTATTCAGAGCATATCCAATGGAAATCTGTCCATTTTGTGTTGTGTGGCATGGAGAATGAAAATTAAAAGAGTATGTCTTTAATGGTTATTGTTAATTGTGGTATCATTTGTGATATGTAACATTTTAATTGGTTGAAGAAGATAAATAAATTAAATAAATACTCTAATATACAATAGAAGTTATCTAGAAATCCTTCTAGAATTTTTTCAAGCCACAAAAGATTATTTGTGTCATGTGGCAACAAAATAGGGAAATAAAAAGACCATTGGAGATGCTCTCACATGTTAGAAAGTAAACATGAAGATATCAACTATCTTCTACAACAAAACTACACCAGCTCGTCTTCAGTATAGTATTTGTGAGGTATTACATGGGATCAAGACTCACAAACTGCATTTGTGAGCATTTGGGTATTGGCATATCTAAGTAAGAAGCATTTGCCTTTATTCATGAGACAGTGAGATCCAAACCGCAAAGCTGGAAAAATAAATAGTTGTCATCAGCAAGTAAGGAGATTTTATAAAAGTTCTTCTCAATGCTCTTACAGTGTGCCATGTATTTCTTCAAATTACCAATTTCTCTGTGCAAAAAAATTCCAGTTTGTGTGCTCAGTTTTTGTGGAGTATAGAAGATAACCAAGAAAATGGTTTTCGTTGTTCCTCGACCCTAATTACCAGGCTAAAACATTTTTCCTTTTTTTTTTTTAGGAAGCAAATTCCAGATTTGCTTGAGAGGATGTATCACCAGAGACGATATGGTTTTGATTCGAACACGAAAGCAGGCTTGATCTATACTCTCTCCTTTCAGCTCCAATTTTATTTTTACCAATCTTATGCCCAGAGGAAATCTATTAGGGTTCTTAATTCTAATACTTCAATTCGAGCTGCAAATACTGATATCTTCTTCTATTTTTTAGTTGTGTTTGTGATAGAAAAGCAAAGAAAGGTGATTGAAGAGAAAGAAGAACTTTTCACTCAACATTATACTTCATATATCATCAGGATGTTGAAATACTGAATCGATAAATTCTGTGTTACAAGGAGCTTACATATATAGAAAACCAAATTCTAATAACCGAATAAAAAACTAACTAGAACCACTACAAACATGTAACCAACAAACTAGATAAATAAACCTACAAAAGAAATAAAAACTGCTAAAATATAAAACTATCCATGCATGCTTGATGGACGTGTGCAACATCTGTTTGCATGGACTAGCATCTGATCATGCCTGAACTCTAACAGGCCCCCTCAATCCGAACGAGCTAAGACTAACAATACCAAGAGCTTGTCTTAGCCTAGAGAAGGATTAATGACTTAAAGGATTATAGTAAGAATATCGGCTAACTGATCTGAAGAAGGAATATGTTGCACGGCTAGAAGACCATTATGTATCATGTCTCTGACGAAATGGACATCGAGTTCAATATGCTTAGGACAAGCATGTAGGATAGATTAGAAGCAAGTGATATAACTCCCAAATTATCAACCCAAACAATAGGAGTTTACTTGATGTGAATGACAATCTCATGAAGAAGAGAATGAAGCCAACTAATGTCAGCACTTGTGTGAGCTAAACTCCTATATTCCGCTTCAGTACTTGATCTTCAAATTGCAGCCTGCTTCTTAGAAGACCAAGTGATAAGGTTACCTCCTAGAAAAATGCATGAACCGGTTATTGATTTTCTGTCATCAATATCACAAGCCCAGTCTGGGTCACAAAAGGCAGTCATCTTTAGATCCTTTGCTTTAATCAGGTTTAAGCCATAGTTGGATGTTCCACTCAAATATCTCAAAATTCGTTTTACAGCTCTCCAGTGATCTTCATGGTTATGGTCAAATATTGCAGGCCCCCTACAACACTTCTATAAAAAGTAGCATTAAATGATGAACAATCTAATTCATTGGATAATCTGGAGGATGAAACCATATGTGTGACACAACCTTTAACATTCTCCATTCCAGCTCTTTCCAGAAGATCGTTGATGTATTTCCAGTGGGATAAAAGAAGAAATGTGGGAGTTTGATGAACCTCAATGCCAAGAAAGTGGTGTAGAACCCCAAGATCTTTAATAGGAAAGGCTTTGGCCAGTTCTGAATAACTGAAGATATAATGCATCATTCTTCCCAGTAATAAGACTATTATCAACATAATAAGCAAGAAAACTTGAATATGTTGATCAATTCTAAAGAAGAGTGAAGGATCTGCAATAGAATTTTTAAAGCTGAGATTATGAACCACTGTCTAAACTGAACCAAGCTCTTGCAGCTTGTTTGATACCATAGATAGCCTTTTGTAATTTACATACTAAAGGTCTATCAGTTTGAGACTTAACTTCAAAACCTGGTGGTTGTCTCATATAGACACTTTCTTGTAAATCCCCATGTAGGAAAGCATTACTTACATCAAGCTGCCTTATTCTCCATCCAAAATTAACAACAATAGTAAGCATCACTCTGATAGTTGTGGCATAATAACTGGACTAAATGTTTCTTTGAAATCAAATCCAGTAGTTTGAGAATAACCTTGAGATACAATTCTTGCCTTGTATTTTTCAATTGAGTTATCTTGATTTCTCTTGAGTTTGTAGATTCACTTACTCCCAACAACATTATATCCTTGAGGCAGATGAACAAGACTTCATGTCATGTTATTAAACAAGGCATCATATTCATCTTGCATAGCCTTTTTCCAATTTGTACATTTAAAGCTTCTGCAAGATTTCTTGGTTCTTGATCCTTCAAAATGCTGCTGTATAACTTAGGATTGAAGATTTCTCTCTTTGACCTGATAATCATAGGATGTATAGACAAGTTACCAACATTAGGTCTATCAATATGAATATTATGTTCATGAGTATCGTTTCTCAATATTGGCAGCTCATTAGGTATAGACACAGTGATATCTTGATTTTC